GTATTACTAGCAAGTCGTAACAGTCGACGAATTTTTCGTTGTGATTTTGTATGACATAATTTAGTAAGAAAATTTGAATTCTCGTTTATTAAATGACTAACCATTTTAAATTCCACTCTTTGGAGTGAAAATAATTTTTTCGTCCTCCTTAAATATTCCTGTCCTAAGTCTTAAAGTTGGATCAGAGGAGGCATGCATGTCGATCAATAAATATCCATAGGGCTGATTTGTTGCTTGACGGTAGGCGTCCAAGAAATAGTCAAGCCTTCTAGGGAAGAGCTGGACTCCTATATTCCTTACTGCAAGGGCTGAATTAGGTGAACGCATTAGTACAATATATTGAGCATTTTGACGAGCAACTTTAATTTTTCGATCGAACAAATTTTGTGTGACAAATATAACGGAGAAATTTTGATGGTGCGATTTTTTTGTAAAAAGCTCAGACAAATATTTTTCATCAATAGACAAAAGAAGATCATCCAAAATTAGAAGAAGTGGCTTGGGGAGTGTTTTTATTAATTCTTCGGGTGGGGTTCCGACAAAGACATTAACACCAGATCTTTGAAGTATTGGTACAATACTACTCATTTCGCCAAAACAATAGAGTATGCTCTTTGGCTTGGGTTCAATTAACTCTTCTACCTCTGAAATAAATTTGAGCAAGAACGTACTTTTGCCACTAGAACTAGGGCCTGAGACAATCATACCAAAAGGCAATTTGAGTTTTAAATCTTTATTTGAAAAAGTTAGCGTTTCCATATTAAATGATAGAAAAATTATAAAACTTGGAAATTAATGAACTTAAATACTTGGTGAATTAAAGAGGGGGTTGTAAATTAGTGTCTTCCATCTTAGCTATTACTTCATTCTTAACATCACTTTCTGCTAACATTCCCATTGTAACAGCCTGCATGGAGTCAAAGAATTCCATAAGTACAGCATCATCATTTTCTTTAATTAATGGCTCTTCTTTGATCGGAGATAATGTTACGTGAGACTCTTGTGTTGGTATTTCTTTTTGTGGCGATGCAAGTGGTAGAGTTAATATTTCATCTTGTGGTGCAGGAGGAGGGGGTATAGTTGTTAATAATTCCTCCTGTGGAGGCATAGGCGGAGGTGGGGGTGGTGGGAGAGGTAGTTGAGATGTTGTCTCACGCTTGCGAGAACTAGTATCGTCGACTGAGCAAACATTTTGCGAACCATATGGTATATTCAAAATTCGACCCTTGTTTTTTATCTTAAATTTAAATTTTTCCAAAATTATTTTAGGCAAATGACCTTGAAAAAACAATGACCCGGCAGGTCATAAATGCAATCAAACGGTACAAGACGAGGAGCTGCAAGGCGTGTACAATAAATTGTCACTCCCTCTTTCGTAATAATAAAGTCCATTTCGACCTCCGTGCTTTTACATTCTCGGCATCGACCCCCATGTTCAAAAGGAATGAAACGTGGAGTGGTAATTCGGTCACTCGTGATAGTGATCCCATTAGTAGTTATGCTGAATTCGACTTCGGGGAGAATCTGGGTTAATAATGATTTCTTATCATTCATGTTTAAAGCCATTCTATTAAAATTTTCTAAAATTAATTAATTTTGTTTAGATTTTTGAGTTTATATACCCTTCTCTCTCACTCTAATAGGTGTCTGTACTCTCTAACCCTACAGTATTTCTCAACTTTATGTGTATCTATTTTGAACAAGACACCAAATTTGAAAAAGCGAAGCCAAGCCATTTTAAAATCGAAGCCAAGCCATTTTTAAAAAATCGATATTAAGCCACGCCCACTTTTTACTTAAAAAGTCAATAATTTTTATTTCTCAAGGTCATTCTTTATAATTTACAACAATTTGTACTACAATTAAATATTTAATATTAAAAAATGGAACAAAATAACTCAGCCACTGAGAAGATTGGTAACTTTTAATTTTAAAAACCTGATTAAGTTTCTATTTTAAAAGATGGGGATTGTGAGAAAAGCAAAGAAATTTCCGTTTCAAAACCTGTGAAATTGGAAAAAAAGAAGGAATCAAAAAGCTCTTTAGGTTTAATAATAAAATAATTATTACCATACAAATTTTTTAAGAATCAACTCTTACTAATCCTCCTGTTGATCTAAATAAAATAAAAATTGTTGAAGAGCACGTTGTTAAACAACAACAACTTTGGAAGCTAATACGCGGAAAATTCTTAATTACATTCTATCTGTGTCAAGGTAATAAAATTTAATATTCTATTCAAAAATTAAATTTTTAGACTGCCAAAACAAATTATTTTATTCAAAAGACAAATTTGAAGAGAATCCTTCTTGTGTTACTGTGAAGATAGGATTATGCAATAACTGTGTCAAAGCTAATAGCACTGCTACAGATGTTCTGGCACCATACAAAAAGATTGGAAGTAAACGAAAAGCAGAATGAAGGGAAAAACTGACATTAATTTAAGAAAAGTTGAAAATTTTCATTGTAAAATTTAAATGTTGAATTAATAAAATAAAAATTAATAAAAAAATTAATGAGTATTTTGTTTAATAACAACTTTAGGCAAAATGATAAACAGATGCGGTCTTTTGCATCTGATAGGGCAAAGAGTTATCTAGAAAATGACCGGTCAGTTTTTTAAGTTAGGTCCTAGAAAAATTTTTATAGCCATTTTTCTAAAGTACATTATTTTTCCAAAATCTCAAATTTTCCAGTGAAGAAAAGAAAGGGAAAAGGAAGTTAAACCCAAAAGATCAACACCCCAGAGAACACCCAACCATTTACGTAACTCTGAAATAAAAATTTCTCTCGCCCCCTCCAACCCTGCAACCCCGACCAATTTGTCAAGCAATTAGCAGCTTAGATTCCCTTGACCCCCTCCCCAGACCAATTTGTAAAACAAATTGTTTTCACCCTTCCCCAAATCAATTAGTCATTCAATTAACACCTGCCGGTCATAAAAATGTTACCCAACCCCTCCCCAGAGCAATTTGTAAAACAAATTGATTTCACCTTCCCCCTCCCCCAAATCAATTAGTCAACTAATTGATTTCCTCTTACACCCAGCACTAATTAGTTCCCCTTACACCCAAACCCCAAACCAATTAGTACTAATTAGTTCACTTTACCCCTCCCGCACTTGTCAACAGGTTCGCGTTAATAGGGGTGGACCCCTCCCCTTAAAATGATTTATGAGGTACAAATTAGTTCGGACCCCTCCCCCGATTAATAATTTATTACCCCGGCGGTAAGATCAAAGAGGATCATCAAAAAGATCAAAAGAAAAAGCCGACAAAACCCCCTTATACCCTTTGGTTTTTGTCGGACCCCTCCCCCAGACCCCTCCCCCGACACCCCTCCTATAGGTTGGCGGCATTTCCCTTTGATACGGTCCGGGGAGGGTTACTACTATTCCCATGTTAGAAAAAAAACCCAAAGGAAGTTAACTTAGATCCTAATCTGAAGCAGGCTGCACGCAATTTAAAAAAAAATCCGCAAACATCAATCAATCAACTAATTTCAATCAATCAATCAACTAATTGATTTCCTCTTACACCCAACCCCCAAAATCATTTGTAAAACAAATTGGTTTCACCCTTACACCCAACCCCCAAACCAATTAGTCATTAATTAGTTCCATTTACACATCCCGCACTTGTCAACAGGTTCGCGATTATACGGGGCAGACCCCTCCCCTTAAAATGATTTATGAGGTATAAATTAGTTCGGACCCCTCCCCCGATTAATAATTTATTACCCTGGCGGTAAGATCAAAGAGGATCATCAAAAAGATCAAAAGAAAAAGCCGACAAAACCCCTTATACCCTTTGGTTTTTGTCGGACCCCTCCCCCGATTAATAATTTATTACCCTGGCGGTAAGATCAAAGAGGATCATCAAAAAGATCAAAAGAAAAAGCCGACAAAACCCCTTATACCCTTTGGTTTTTGTCGGACCCCTCCCCCAGACCCCTCCCCCGACACCCCTCCTATAGGTTGGCGGCATTTCCCTTTGATACGATCCGGGGGGGGTAACTACTGGGAATATTTCAGATTTTTCGATTATTTGATTTCTGTCGACATTAGCATACTTTTATTTTTCCTTCTAAAGGCGTAGTGACAGAAGACCCACAGACAGAAGACCCAAGGACAGAAGACCCACAGACAGAAGACCCACGGACAAAAGACCCACAAGGAAAAATTTTTAATAAAAGTTTAAAAGAACAAGATTGGACAAAGTTACGATACAAAAATCAAACAACATAAACCTATGGGACGTCGGCGAGACGCTTGTGCAAAACCCCGCGCTTCGCGCGAGGTTTTGCGGCACGCGTCTCGCAGGGAATCAACGGTCGCTGGGTCTTCTGTCTGTGGGTTTTCTGTCCTTGGGTCTTATGTCTGTGGGTCTTCTGCGTCGACACGCCTTCTAAATGTTTAGTTCTAAAAGACTAGAGTTTAAGTTAACTTTCTATTTTATGTGTTTTCTTTTTCTAACATGAGAGTTTTTGATTCTTCAATTACTCGATTTCTGTCGATTATCATCGACATCCAAAAAATTAGGTGAACCTCTCTACTTCAAACCACAGATTTTCTACTTTAATACTAAAACCTATATAAAATTATTTTTGAAATAATTAACACTTTTGTTTTATTTGCAATGAGATTTTTCAACTACATATGCGTTCCACATTTCCCTTTCCTTCCCCTTTCAATTTTCTCATAAATAATACGAGATGGTCATCAAGACCATCACCGATACTTCCGACGGAGCTATGATATTCAGTTGCCAATATTAACTCAACTTTAATATTGGTTCTAATTTCAGCAGCCCGTGACACTCTTGATCCTTATAAGTCATTGTTAACACTTTTTATGAGAAAAAAAGAAGAAAAGGAGAATATTGGTGCATAAATGATATTTCAAATTCTTTAAATATTTTTATCACCTTAATTGAAATCAAATATTTTTTAAGTTAGGTATATAGTTGTAGATTCATTGTAAAATTTATTTATACATATAATATGTTGAAATAGAATGGCCGATTATTGTGATGATGAGTAAGTGAATTAAAGAAAGATGGACTAGATTTGAGGAATAGGGTTCGAGGAGCTTGATATCCCCAAGATCCTCCAATTTTAAATAGAGTAGACCTTAATCCCTTTAGATGTCTTTGGCATAGAGATATATAAAGAGATTTAGCATATAATAGAGAAACTAAAAGGTTTTGTATAATTTCTGCTATACCTGTTGATTCTCATTTTTATGCACAGAACTTGCCTTCCTTGACTAATTCATAGTATCCCAAGTGCAAATAAAAGTGAAAAGCTTTGGGAGGAGATAAAAATCCCTTCCATAAAGTTCAAAAGTCTCAATTTTCCCTTTATTTATTATACATGATCAATATTTTTATCTGAGTTGAATTTAAAAACACGGCACATTTTAAATTATTTAATTTTTGTTTTTTTTATTAAAATTTAATTTTTAGGAACAAGATGATTGGTGTGCACAACTTGCCTTTCTTTGGCCAGACCCAAGCGTTTATGGGTAAAATTAATGTTATAATTTTTTTAATTTCATCCAATTTCAGGCAAAACGCTTTGGGATTGGTTCAAAAGGTCAAAAGCCCACTTTTCTGATATCATTGACCGGTTAAATTGCCATATTGTGCCCATGTTTTTAATGTTTTTTGTTATGATGATCTCAGCAAATATGTTGGTTTTTTTGAATTTTTCTGTCCTGATGATTCCCTACCTACCTGTTTGATAAGAGGATATAGATTTTTATTTTTTCCTTTTCATTTTCATAGATGTTAGAAGAAATATCCTTAAAGTAGAGACCCGACCGAAACGAGATCTCGATAGAGAATCTCGGTTATCGAGATCGGGAATTTTTCGAGATCTCGATTAACGTACGTCACTCCAGTCCGGGCTCCACTTTAAAGCATGTTCTTAATAATAAATTCCTGTAATACCAACCCTTCCCCCGTTTTTTTCGTTAAGAATGTAAATAATGGGCAGAACTTTAGAAATTTTATTCACAAGTATCGTAAAGTTCCATTAAGACGTCTAAGCTCTTCTAGCCATGCATAATAGTGCATGTCTCTCTCAGAACCTTAAAATAAAATTCGGATTGAAATCGACACCCTTTATATCTATTACCTAATTATTTAATTTGATTTTTTTAAATTTAGTTTTGGTGCCTTTGGTATGGAACCTATGCGTTGCTTGGTATTTTTTAAAAAATTAACTCTAAAAAATTTTGAAAATTTTCACTTATTAACAATTAACTCCAATTTCTCAAAAAAAAAATTTAATAAATTTATTAGCGCAGTCCAGAGCTTAATGAAGAAGAAAGAGAATATGCCCTCGATTATTGTATGTCCAAAAACACTTATTATGTTGCACCCGAGGAAGGAATACCTTGGTCAAACAAGGAAAGGCGTGAAAGGCAGTTAGGATATTACCATGTTTGTTTTTAATTTTTTTGTTAAATATGAATTTTCACGTTTCCATTTCTTATTCAATTTAACGACTTAAAAAACGTGCAATTCATTTTCTTTGGTATAGTTAATTTTTTGGGAGCTGATTAGAATCAGCTAATATTTAGTCTTTACCATTTTAGATAGTTTTTAAAAATACTTTCCCACTTTCCCGTTATCACTCCCCTCTTAACAGGCGTATCAAAATATAAAGGCAAATCAAACGTTAAAAAATTTGTACGAAATATATTTAATATATATTTTTTTGTACAATACCATTTATGAATAAGCGCTTATTTTCACATCCAACACTTCAGTTCTTATAGTTTGTCATATTTTTGTAAGCGATTCAATCAGCTATAAATTAGTTCATTTTTCATTTTGTAATATAGCTTCATTAACTAAAATTTCACTGTTGTTATATTTTTTAGGTATTCAATTAATTATGTACTAAAATTTTGTAGTTTTGTCCATATCAATTTAATAAAACTTAACTTTTCTATTTGAAATTTCTCTTACCCCTCTAAAAGCTCTACTAAAATTCTAATATAAAACTAATCCTGTCAACCATTTTTTACTTACCTTTGGAGATTTAATTTAAATTTTATTTTTTCTAGTGGGTGCCTATAATGATGTTTTTACAAGCAATGCTTTTTATGTTGCCAAATTGGTTGTGGAATGCACTCAATCAACAGAGTGGTTGGTTATTTTTATTAATATGTACTGCCAAAATTTGCAATTTTAGTTCATATTTCGTATTTTTTGTAAGATTTTGCCAAAAATTATCAAAATTTTGAATTTTTTTGGTTATATTTTTGGTTATATACTATTTATAAAAATTTGGAATAGTTTAATGAGTGCTAAAAAAAGCTTATTTAAATAAGCTTCCAAAAAATTCTCAACAAATTATTGCATTGGCATCTTTAACTATATATAAATACAAACTTAAGAGAAATTACATTTTAAACTTTACATATTTTACAAACCTCATTACGCTAAAATCTAAATTAATAATTTTAGGTATTGAATTCATTAAATTCATTGAAGAATCATCCCGACTCAAAACATTAGAGCTTTCAAATCCAGAAAGGCCAACTTTGCTTCATGAATTGCAAGAAAAGATTGCGGAGGTACCTTATCTCTATCAAACCACTAATTTGACGTTAAATAAGAGAGTTTATAGAATGATCATTTATATGTAGTCCGAACCTTTTTAACTATAACTTATAGCTGGAATGTTCCCTTATTAAAAATAAGAAGTCTCCATCTAGTTAACAGGGTGCTAGGGTACTCCAGTGCTGGGTATTGAGCATTTGTTGGCTCCGGGCTTTTAAAATCTTAGCTCCGGCTCCGTCGGAGATCGCCTCCGGAGCTATCTCTCAGAATCATACCCAGCGCTGGTGATCAGTCCTTGAAATTGAGAGAATTAACATTGTTTTACATTTTTCCTTCGTAGATTAGCATAAATCGAGTTTAAATTTTATATTTACATAATTTCAGGCAATTCTTAATCGTCAAGCTTATTTTCGTCGAAGAATGGCTGGTTGCCGGTTTGGCCAAAGTATGGGATCTTATGTTTCAGTAAGAGAAATCTTCTCATTTCTCCTAATTACCTTCTCTTTTTTAGTGGTTATACGTCTTTATAAAAGCTCTTTATTTGCTAAACGTCACGGGTCAATTTTTTATTCTCAATTCTTTCATTGGAAGTACCTACCGATGGTGGGGAATTGATGTATTAAATGCTTTACTTGCTGGGGAGAATTGGCAGGTATTTTAATTAAAAATAAAATCCAAGTATTCAAATTAATTTTAAAGGATTCTCCAATATTTCCTCGTCTTACTCTTTGTGATGTTCCAATACGTCGGTTGGGAGACACTCCAAGATATACACTTCAATGTCATTTGAGAATAAATACATACAACGAAAAGATTTATTTATTTATTTGGTGGGCTTATTTAAAGTTTAATCGTCTTAAACCCTATAAACCCTATACCCTATAATCGTCACCTTTGGAGAACTAAGTCGGGTAAACTTGTTGTGGTCATGATCCTAAGTTGATGTCATATATGTAGTATATCCTACTTTTACAACATATACTATGTCTCCCCAAAATCCAATTAAACTATTGATAATCCATACAAATCCTAGCCCAAATGCAGCCGAGTTTCGATTGCGCTCAATTAAAAAAATTTTTTTTAAAGCTTTTTGTTATATTTTCCCTTTAATCCTTTTAATTAAAGTTTTAGTTAAACGGATTAAACGGAGATTTAAATGATTATATATAATTTTAATTTTCCTGTTTTATAACTATCAGTAATGTATTGGTATTGTTATTTTTGGATGCTGATTAAATCAGCAAAATATGATTGAATTCACCCTTGACTTGGGAAAATTCGATTTCTGACTAGAAGAATCTGAAACTTTTTCCCTTAATTTACTTTAATTTAAAGGTGGGGCTTTCTACTCGTTTCAATTCTAACTTTCTTCAACTTTTGGTACTACCTCCTTGTACTTATCTGTTTGCCTTGTACACAAGAAAATTCTGTTAGACATTTGCTCAAACAAGTAAAGAAATTTTTTGGATTTAAAAATTCTTTCAATTTTAAAGGATAGACACGAAAACATGGTTTATTCAGCAAAGAAAAGGGATCGAAAGTTGATCAAGTCGTTTGCAGAGGAGGCGCTTTGCAAGGATTGGGTAAAATAATTTTTGAATATATTTAGCTTATACACTTAACCTAACTCTAATATGATAGAATAATTTGCCTATTTTCAGTCCGCAACAGCATTTAGGTCCTTGGCAACCAGACTGATAGGCTAAATACTAAAGCACATACCTAATAAATCCATTAATAATTTCACTTCTTTTCGTTTTTAATAATTCTCATTTTCCCTTCAGATTCTTCTTTTTTGGTTTATCGAGGGTCATGCTGGACCACTTATTGCCAGAGAAATACTTGGAGAAATATTTGACTACTACAAAGGAAAAATGGTTAGTTTTGTTGATTTTTGTTCAATATATAATTTTCCTATTTGGTTGTACTTATTTTATGTTTTATTAAAGTTAGATAGTGTACCTTCACGCTTGCTTAGATTTTATTTTTTGGGAGCCAAACTTAGTTTTGGCTAAATTTAACAAAATTTAAAATTTATACTCGAAATAAGAGCTTGAAAAGCCTGAAGAATATCAAAATTTTTCTGATTTTTACATTTAGCATTATGAAGATGACGGAGAAGACGATTTAATTAAAAAATCTGGCAAAAGTTCTTTCTCTTCACAAAGTACTGGTTCGATGGAGGACGATTATGTTGAAGAAGGAGAGGACGATGAAGAGTTTTATGGCGGAGGGAAGACTGCATTAACTCACAGATTTGGAAATAATGGAGGTTGGAGAAATAAGTTATTTAATATGGTTTACCTTATAAAGTATCCCATCGGGACCGAAAAATATTACAATAGTTAGAGTATATCAATTTTTTGAGTTTTATTTCCCATAATTATGAGTTGTTGGATAGTGGGAGTTTATTTTCGATTACTTGAAGATACAAAAGATCGCGTCCAACATTTTCTCGTCCGTCCTTATCTTCAGAATCCAAATTACATATTTTAGAAAAATAATGGAATATTAAGCGATAGAAACTTTTAACACACTAGAAAGGTGACTAAAAGGAGTACTCCATAGAATCTATCTTATTTAAGACTAAATTAAGGGTTTGCTTAAGATTAGGCAATTTATTTGAATAATTTTGTATTCAGTTTTTTTGTATGCCAAGTCACACTTTGGCAATAATATACCGTATTATCTCTAATACAAGCCCTGGGCGTCTATTTTTAATACCCCTCATTGACTGGGCTTCTAATAGGGCATGGGCTTCTATTAGGGCCTGGGCTTTTATTTTTCAATATCGAAATTTTATAGAAGATAAAAAATAAGAGCAACAGAAATTAACTGCTTGGCAGAAAAAAACAGAAAAGAATATAAAAATTAAATATCAAAATCAATATAAATATCACTAAAACTTCTTATCCTCAACATAGTAATTAGTAAATCCCTTATAATCCCGCAAGTCACTATTAATGAACTCCTGAATGATCAGATTAAGCTACATATCCATCTTTATTAAATCCATCTTAATTATAAATATCCGTTTAATTCCAAAATATTTCTCGATATCCCCCTTGCTCTTAAATCAATTTTACACCTTAACTTTCAATATCCCTATTGATCCTTTTATCTTTAACAATATCCCACTTTAATCTTCCAATATGCTCTTTCTTCTAGTACACTTAATCTCCTTCATAAGTGTCTTAATTTCTTAATCCCTTCCCCATATTCTCAATGGAATAATATGAAAGGATTATTGATACCTCTATCTATCGAGGGATCTCTCGATATTGAATTTTTGGTTGAACCGAGGTATATGCACGGAAGTAGTTGAATCCTTGTCAACCAAATCTCTCAACCAAATCTCTCAATATTCAATCTCTGAATATTCCTATTAATTCGTTGATAGCCAACGATATCCCACTCAATCATACAATAGTCTCTATGCCACAATTCCGATACATTCTCAAACCCGCATCTATCTTTCTCTAAATTCTCTTAATTCACCTTAAATTCTACTTAACTCATCCAAATTTCCCGATATTCCATTAATATACTTCTATACTCATTTTTGGAGACTGGAATTTTGTTATCAATACCTTTAGTCGACTATGACACGAGTAATAGAAGAATAGATAGTCAAAAATCAGATGGGCTTCTATTAGGGCATGGGCTTCTATTGGGGCATGGGCCTTTATTTTTCAATACCCCCTATTGAGTGGGCTTCTAATAGGGCATGGGCTTCTATTGGAGATGGGCTTCTATTAGAGACAATACGGTAGTTTTCTTTTAAAGTCTAGATTTTAAGATTTTTGGGTTTTATGGCATAATGTTTTGGCTTTTGTCTTAAAATTATTTATTGAATGCATACTCTGAACCACAGCCAAAATTTCTATAATTTCTCGCTGTTTAGCGATAAGTATATTTTCGATTTCTAATTGGATATGAAAAACAAGCTAGTATTTATTCTCTTGCCTCTAAGAACTATTATCTGCTTTCTCATAAATATTCATCTTCTCTAAATAATTTTTTTATTATTAAGGTATTCCTTCCCCAACAGCTCCTCCAAAATTGCCTTTGGGAGAGGCTACAAGCCTTTCCTCCTCATCACAAGAAAGAGAATTATTGCCAACGACTGTAGAGGGAGGTGTAGATACAAATACAACAGAAACTTCACATTTATATTCTTCAACACCTAGAAGGAAGGGAGCAGGAAATTCAGCTAGAGCAAGGTATGGAAATGTGGCAGATGAACGACGACCTCCGAATTTTTATAATAGTGGTACGAATTTAAATAATATATAATTTTACTTTAATTTATCTATACATATGTATATGTATTCTGAATATGTGAAAGGGCTGTTGATAACAATTTTGTATTTTTGTAAGCCAGGAAACCTTGGCTAATATATTGAGTATAGTAATATATCTATATGTATAAGCATGTATATTGGTGGTGTTGGCTATTTAATTTGTTTGTGTTTTGCATAAGCTCTTTTGCAACTTTTTGACGTATTAAAATTTTAACTTTAACATTCTATTTTCTTTTAATTTCAGGTCATCGACGCAGTATTCGACGTGAAAACAATAACAACGAAAATCCTGGAGGTGGAAGGAATATATTTTCTCGTTTCTTTCGTTTTCTTTTTGGTTTTGGAGGAAATAATGGAATGAATGATAATTATTACAGAAATCAACGATTGCCTATATTAGCTACTCCTTTTACAAACCCAACAGGGCCTGCAGGGAATTATTATGGTAAAGCACTTGTAAAGGAGGTTTGAAATGTTTTTTTGGGGTTTGATTATTCTGGAATTTTGAAATTTATCATGTGACTAAAGGAGGTAAAAAAGAGAATATTAAGGCCAAAATCTTTAAAAGCAAAAAATAAAAAAGAAATTTAATTTGGTTATGAGATTTTTTTTTTTTTTTGCTAAATAGTGATAATTATATTAATTATGAAATATTAAACAAATTAAAGGTTGTTAACTGAGAATTAAATTAAACGTACTGTATATTTTTGAAAGCAATGAGTCTCCATTGCTATAAGTAAGTCGCCTTGAGAAAAATTGACCTTTGTAAATTTTAGTTTATATTTCTAAAAACTAATTTTTCTCTTTTTACCTTTCTTTAGTTACATTTGATTATCACGAAATTTAATTAATGTGGAAGCTCTCTATAACGTCTCTTCAATTTCAATCCACTTCTCCTTTTATGCCATCTCCATTTCGATCCGAGAGTTGTGATTTGCCCAATTTCCATTCTCTGTCACATCACTTCCCTTATTAGGCTAAATTCAACCAAATGTTCGACGTTATATAGAGAGATTCCACTTAATTTATATCCTCATTTATTTTGCTATTCACTTCCGTTTTTGTTAAAATATCAGTGCTGCGCATAAGCGCTTAAACATCCTTTGCTTTCACAAAAAGTTTTCAGGGATCTTTTCTAAATTTTTTTTAAATTAATTATTTTTTAATTAATATTTTGTCCTATTTTATTTTTAAATTTAATTTTGATCCTTACTTTTAACCTTTTTCTTAAAATTTTTAATATTGGAAGCAAATACATACATATTACTTATTCTTGACGTTAACTTTATCTATTTAAGTTCACCTATGTTAGTTTAGTTCACCTAGACCCCACTAAAAATTTTTGGTTGTCCAAGCTTTAACAGCTTACTAAAGACAGGCCAGACTAGATCTCGATTAAATCTCCCTATCGTTATTGTTATATCCTAGGATTAGAAGAATAACACAAATAAATAGAATAAATGTTTATCACAAGAGGAAATACAGGTTTATTGGAACAGTCTGATCTTGGGAACTGATTGATACTCGATTACCCTCATTTGTCAGTTACAGACTAATACTGATCAGTTATTGAGATTTTTTTTATCTATATCGATGCTCAATCTGTTCTCTAGTTTATATAACGCAATCCCTTTTAGAACTAAAATTTCCTAGAATTTTTAGAAATATTATTTCACAGCTTAAAATCTTTTTTTGAATTTCTAACAACTAAAATTTCCAATTATTCCTTTTATTATTTGCTTCCAATATTTTTTTAAAATTATACCCTTACTATAAAACAGTAATCTCATTAATTAAAAAATTGTCTTGGTTGTCTTTTTTCTAATTAAATCCCTTTTCTAATTATAATACTAATTATTTATTTTTTTACTCTCATGGTCTTTTTGTTTTTAAAATTACTTTCATTTTTTAACCCTATTCACTTCCTTTTTATAAAAACACTTCCTTTTTCTTGCATCATATTCAACTCTTTTTTAATTTTTAAAATTTTCGATAATATTCTTTAAAACTTTTTTTGGTCAGTTGAACGCTAGATTGAGTCAAGCAAGCATTTAAGGAAAATATTCTTGGATTCTGATAATAAATTCTTTGGGGCAGTACAACTTAGTCACTAATTTATAACTAAAGAAGGGTTTTCGAACTTCTATCGGTCAGTCTAAAATTCTTATTTTTTGATTCTTGTATTGTTTTTAATTCATATCGAGAACATTGAAAAATGTCCATTCCATCATAGGTTGAGCTAAGATGTAGCTTAGTTAATCCGTAAACAATACTAACTGGTAATGATATGCTGCATTTCCATATATATATGACATTAATGATAATCAAATTATAACAAGTAAAGCGGGGATTCCCCAGCCTGAAATTTTTTTCGTTTTTTAAAATCGTATTTCAAAATTGGTCTAAACTAGAGATCGGCCGAAGAGGTCGGTCGATATTTTTCGATAAATATCGATAAATATCGAAAAATATCGATAATTATCGATAAAAAATCGTATCGAGCCGATCTCTAGTCTAAACAATGCCAAGTTGACTATAAACTAATTCAAGGGTGTGTTCCCAAATATTTGCTGACATAATCAGCATCCAAAAATAAATTAAATTTTGTTTAGATGAACTGGAAAAATTGGTAAATTATCAAACCGGAATATTAAAATTATATATAAATATCTAAATTTTCAATTATATATTTAGCAGAAACAGGGATGACTAAAGTAATTGAGTCATTTTTGTATTCGTAATTGTAACACCAAAAATTAGTTCAAGGTTCCTAATATCGAATACCTAGGCAGAATATCCAACCACTATAAATTTTTGGGTGTCTCATTAAAGCGAGAATTTGAGTTAATTTAATTAAAATAGGCATTTTTACCCCTTCTAGCGTTCAACTGATTCTTAAAAAATTGTTTTCTTTTTGCGTTTGTATTTAAAAAAAACATTCCAACAAATTGCAATATCATTACCCAACTAATTATTTTTATTTATTTTTAATTTTATTAATTAAAAATTTAATTTTCTCTTGTCTGAGAGAAATTTTTTTCAATTTAAAGAGAGGGTATTTCTTGGGGAAATTTAAATTTGGGTTACTAGATCTACTCCGAATTCAAATTTTTTTTCAGTCAAAATTCAATTTGGCACATTTTCAAAGGCAGATTTGGATCTTTTAAGATTTTTGTGTTCGAGAATTTGTTCAATAGAATAGGGCAGTCCTTAAACCAATCTGCCATAGGTTGATTTTAGAATAAATAAAATTCCCCGTCCAAAATGAATTTGGACTTAAAACTGAATTTGAAAGCCTCCATTAAAATACCCTCAATTTTTAAAAACAATTTAAATATATTTTTGAAAGTTGTATTCCTCGATTAAATTTTATTTTCACTTAATATATTGTATTTTTAACTTTGAGATAAAAATTTTTTGGAAAAATAAATTTTGGAGTTCAATCAATCATGCGGAATCACCGTTCCAGATTAAGAGTTTGATATCATGTAACTCACACTCACTTAATCATGAGCCAAAACCAATTTACTAAATTAGCCACGAAGATGGCTTACAAAAATAAAAAAATTTAATATCGACTCAACACCATCCAAATTAGAAAATTTAATAAATAAATTTAAACATGATTTAATATAATTAGAAACATGGTGTACTAGATATTGGGGTGTGTACTAGATATCTTAAAATTTTATTTCCAAAATTAGTTATTAACAAATTGACATAACCTTGAGCGGCGATAAATTTTTTAAATTGTATTTTTGCAGCGTACTTATGTATATTTTGAAAATTTTCACACCATGTACTTATAAATTAAGCTTTTTGTACTTTAATTTAACATTTGTCCGATGAGAACCCTGAATATAATCCATTTTCTGAGCCGCAGGCAAAATTTTTGAGCATATTGGAGTGCAAGGAGCACTCCAATTCCCATCTGAATTCCCATCCAAAGTCTTAGACACCTAGAAAAATTTGAAAAAGAAATTATGTCAACTAAAGTTGACATGCAAAAATACAACCAAAGAAGAAACAAAAATATTTTTAAAAACCATTAAAAATACTGTCTAAATAATTTTAAAATTTTGAAATTAAAAATAAGTAGTAATTCGATACAGACAATGGAGACGGGAAATTTTTCAAAAAATCGTTTAAGAATTAAAAACAAGAATTTTAATTCGATACAGTAAGGTGCAAAAGTTTATGCCGCTACACCTTGCACGCAGAAAAGTCGATTTATCTCAGGAAGAAAAGGGACTTAAATAAAATCGATTATATATTAATTAAATATAGTTCATCCTTTATAATATCCATAAAAGAAATTTTTTAATAACCAAGTTATTTTAAAATTTATTCGGTATAACTTATTTACCTCACATTTTGGGGGAGCAAAAGTTTATGCCGCTTGTTGGAAAAAAATTTTTTGGTTCCAAAACAAGACGAAAAAAATTACAAATTTATTTATAAATATTTCCATTGATAATGAATGGAAAAAGAGAAAAAACGAAGTCTGTACTTGCTTTATTCATTGAGATACCAAATCTCAAAAATCAACGGGAAATGAGGTTACAGTACTTGAAAAAATATTTAAGCTCCCAAGGGCCTGTATCAAAAATTCTTTTTGGGCTCATTAGAAAGCCCATAAAATTTGCTACAAACTACACTTGGTCTCATATGTGTGAAAAATTTCATCTTCGAGATAGGGTCGCATGAATTCACAAGGTTGCCAAAATCACCCGAAATACCCTATAAAATGCTCATTCTTATTTCTTCGGTAATTCATGCTACCTTACCTCCGAGTTGAAATTTTTCAAATATAGGAGTCCGACCTTATTTTGTAGCAAATTTTATGGGCTTTCAAATGAGCCTAAAACGAAAATTTAAAAAAATCAATTAGGGGTCGAAAATATTTTTTCAATTATTGTACCCCGATTTTACGTTGATTTTTGCTATTTTTGATCTTGATGAAAAAATTATTTGCCTAATTCATTCTTTTTACTTTTCCATTCAATATCGATATAGATGTTTATAAAAATTTTTTTAATTTTTTTCGACTTGTTTTAGAACCAAAAAAATTTTTTTCCTAAAAGCGGCATAAACTTTTGCTCCCGCAAAATGGGAGGTAGGTAAGTTTTTCCGCCTATAATTTTTGATTAAAATTCGTATGGGAAATTTTTTTTATAAATTTCTAAATAGAAGGCCTACTCTTAAAAAATACATAATCGATTTTATTTTTGCCCCTTCTTTTCTCGGGTTATATCGACTTTTTCCTATGCGAAGTATAGCGGCATAAACTTTTGCACCTTACTGTATTAGCTGATAATATCAACTCCAAAAAAATATCGTGGACAATTGGACAATTTCTTCGAATATTAAAATACAAAATATAATTATAAAGAACAAAAAAAGTTAAAATTTAACATGGAGAGGATATTCCAATCCGCCTACATTTATGTAAATAGTTGAGTCTGAATTTA